TTACACACCCACCGCTGGAACAATAGTGGGCGAATGGGCATCAGCTTACCAGCGGCGAGGACAGCCCAAATGTGACTTATGCAGAAAGAAAAGACAAAAAGGATAGTAGAGGGACAAGCAGAATATGGCTAACACAGAGCTACATGTTTGGTATGGCCCTAGTTAACCCACCGATAAATGCAGTTAAATGGCCAATTCGCCTATTAATCCCTATTCAGCACCTGACCGAGATGGTACCAGTTACCACTATCCTGAACATTTCTTGAAAATCAATTAAAACTCTCTCCATTTGCTCACTACCGAATAAGTGAAGCAATAATACCAAGTTGTTTTCATCTACTATATCAAATTTACTAAAAGTGTTAATGAGATAACAGTTGTCATAGTCTGTATGGCAGCAATGTAAAAGTGATAGCAATATTGCAAACCTGAAACCACTAGTGCAAATTAGCAGTTCTCAACCATGGATGGCATACAGTACTGAATCATTAACAACAGTCGAGTTGCAGCATGACAATGGTGGTGCTTGAATCTTTGCATAAACAATATTAACCTTCTTTTTTGAGAAGTTACTGCGGGAGAGGCTCCTACTGCTCTATATTAAAAAACAGAGTATGTAAATGGCACCAGGACCATTTTTCTTGATATATCTTTGGCATGGATTTGTGTGTTACAGTACTGAATCATTAACAACAGTCGAGTTGCAGCATGACAATGGTGGTGCTTGAATCTTTGCAAAAACAATATTCACCTACTTTTTTGAGAAGTTACAGCAGGAGAGGCTCCTACTGCTCTATATTAAAAAACAGAGTATGTACATGGCACCAGGACCATTTTTCTTGATATATCTTTGGCATGGATTTGTGTGTTACATGTGTTGCAGCCACGAAAATGCACATGTAGGAACTAAAGAAAAGAAAAAGGAGTAGAAACAAATGTAGGTCACTTAGGAATTTTGTTTTCCTTCAATGTGCTCAGTTGACAACTTTGTAGGCACTTCTCCACATTTCCTATTATGCCCAAAACTATTACTCCCATGAACAAGCCGACCTTGCCTCCTTGGAAAGAAAACATGCAGGGGAACTTTGGAGCAAGAGAAAGGAATGATGATAATTTTAGCCTACACAATAGTTATTGTATGGTTTGTGCCCGTGGCTAATGGTCTACTACAATGTAATTTTGTGGACAGAGGGAATAACAAATATGGCTTTCAAAGCAAAGAATACTCTCTCCCCCCCAACTGCTGAAAACAAGAGGATGATACAGTAGCAAGTTTACCAGTTCATAGAGTTGGTGCCGAGATCTGCGGCGGGTGGCCCCTGTACAGGTGAGCATGCAACATTTTGTGCTTGGACACATACATCCTCTCGAGTTGCAATGCCTTGAGCTCCAGTGCAAAATACTCAATATCCGGACTCTCTGATGAAGCGCTCCCGAACCAGGGCCAATCAAGTGAAATCCCTCTCAGGAGCAAGTACTCCTCATCAGAACCTATGATGCGCCAGTGATAGTCGGGCAATGGGTGATCTTTCGTTTCGTGTTGCCACTCTTCATTGCGTTTGCCTGGCCAGGTCTTGTAGTACAAGTCCAATGTGTTTCTACCAATATTGAGCAGCCCAATCCTGCCCTGCCCTGCCTCCAGAATGGCGAACCGCCTCTCGTCGTTGCCAGGCGGGAGGTCGACAATGGAGAACTCCATCGTGCCGGCGTCAAGCATGAGCAGCTTCTCCATCCACTCCAACAGCCAGCAGAAGCAGCCCTGCACGTAGTGGCGCCGCTCGTACAAGGCGTCCAGCGCGAAGTCGTTGGACAACTCGCTTGAGCCGTAGCTGCGCCACTCGCCGGTATGCGAGGAGAAGACGAACACGGCGACCCTGTCCTCGCACAGCACCTTGCCGATGACCCTAAAGGGCACGCCGTCGTCGCGCAGGTCCTCGGCGCTGGCCGGCGCAAGGAAGGGCTCGAAGTCGAGCATGCCCCACCGCAGGACGGGGGCCGCCAGGTCGTCGGGGACGGGCGGGACGCGGACGCAGCGGCGGAAGAGCGGGTCGGCGACGACGAGGTCAACAAAGGTGGTGGAGGTAGCGTCGGCGAAGCTGCCGCGGCCGTGGGAGCTGGGGACCGCGGAGAAGAGCACGCGGCCGTCACGCGCGTCGCGGGGGCTCCAGCAGGCGGCGTCGTCGGGGAGGAAGGAGAAGGTGAAGTCGGCGGCCCGCGCGAGGGCGCGCGCGGCCGGGGCGGAGGGGTGCGGCGGGCGGGCGGCGTAGAAGTCCTCCCGGAGGAAGCCGAGGACCGGGGCCCTGTGGAGCGCGCGGAATCGGCGCCGGAACGGGAGCGCGGACGTGATGGCCCGGAAGGAGGCGCAGGCGGCCGACGCCCGCGCGACGTCCCCCGCCGTCGTGAGCCGCAGGAAGATGTCCTCCAGGATGCCGTCCGGGAGGTGCGGCTGCTGCAGAGGCGGGGCGTCGGCGTCGGCGTCCGGGGGCGGCGCGGCAGGGGCGTCGGCCTCCGGGAGCGGCGGGGGGGATTCGGCGTCCGTGGGCGGGGAGGGGGCGTCTCCGTCAGGATTAGGCGGAGGGGGAGGCTCGTCGGCGGTGGGTGGCGTGGCCATTGGCGCGGATGTGGCGGCCGGCCGGCGGTGGGAATGGGAGAGGGGAACTGGATTTGGGGCCTGCCGCGGGGAAGAAGAGTGAAGCGAGTGGGACTAGGGTTTGCAGGCTCTCGTCCGAGATCCGACAGAATACTATTACTCCGTGGAGAAATATAAGGGCGTATGTTTTTCCTTTTTGAGATTTATAAAGGCAACTCCAATGGGGCCACCCAAACGGACGGTGCATTTGTCCGTTTTTTGTTTGTTTGGATCGGCCGCCCGCCCTGCGTCTGCTTAGTTTTGCATTTGGGTCGGCAGTGCGTCCAACGCGCCGACCCATTTCATGTCCGCATTCAACTTTTAAATACAAAAGGCCCTCGGCTGATCATGCCAGCGGCCATGTCTCATGCCGGCACCATGCCATCGCCGGCATACAATGACGGCTTCAGAAAATACCACAGTTCATGCTGGCGCACTCGCCAGCCGGCCGGCACACATGCCAGCACACAAAAAAAGTGGGACTTGAGTTCGACCACGCCATCGCAGCTCCCGTGGTCGTGCCGGCACACCTGCCGGCATACAAAAAGATGGCTCTCGACGCCATAGATCACTCGTCGTCGAACTTGAACATGTCGGCATGCATCTTCTCGAACCACGGTCTCTTCCTTGGCGACACGGTGTTGAGATCCACCTTCATGATCTCTATCCCGGTCATCATGCTTGCAAGAGCCACTTCTTTCGCCTTTGTCTTGGTGTTGGCGGCCTCGATCCCCGGCATCTTGGCTTGCTTCTCCGCCTCGAGCTCGAACATCTTGGCTTGCTTCTCGGCGTCAAGATCAAGCCTCCTCCTTTGGATCTTCATGAAAGCATCCATTTGCTCCGCCTTGAAACGTCGACGCTCCTCCTTCCTTGAGTCCTTCTTATTCATCATGACGTCCACGCTTGCGATCAAGGCGTTGGTGACCGCATCTCGCTTGTCCTCCTTCTTGGAGTTGGTCGCCGTCCAGGTCGATGCCGACCTGATCACGCATGAAGGCCACCTGATCGGGATCATAGCCAGCGACCGGCGTGAACGCCCCGTGGCCCTCCTGGCTTTGTGTCTCGTCGGGATCGTAGCCAAGCGCCCGGCGCACCGCCCTCGAAGATGAGGTTTTGCATGTAGTCCTCGTCGACGGTGGACGGCATTTCCTCGAACGGGTTACGGGCGTCCGGGAGCCCGCCGGCCGGCGTCTGCCGTGCGCGTTTCCTCATGCCGCCGGACGACGAGCCACTGACCATCGGGGTGGCGTTGAGGTCGATGGGCGCGGGCGCGGGCGTGGAAGGCGCGACCACGCTCACGTCGGGTGAGCACTCCCTGGAGAGGCGGGAGGCCTGCGGGTAGATGTGGAAGCCGGGGACCGGGTTGCAAGCCGACGCGTGGGGTGAGTCGGGCAGCACCATCCGAGGAAATGCCGACGAGCCGGTGCTGGCCGCGGCGACGGCGGCTTGGACGAGGTTGTGTTGGCTAGGGTTTACACCTAGCATGTAAAGCGCCTCCCTCGTTGCCGCCGCGACGCGGGCGTGGGTGAACTCCTGCTGCGCGGTGGCGACGGCTGCGGCCTCATCCCTCGCATCCGCGGCGTGCCTCCAGCCCTTCCTCTTGGCCGACTCCCTTACCCGTTGTTCGGACGTCGGCGCCTTCTTCGGCTTGGTAGCGGCGGCGGTCTTGCGCGGGGCACGAGGCTTGCCTTTCTCGGAGGGGGCGACGGCGCCGGACGAGGCGAGGCCGACGGCGGCGTCGAGGTCGAGGTCGATGGCGTTCTCCATGGCTGGTTGGGGGGCGGGGGCGCGCGCGGGCGGGAGCATTTTTGGGGAAAATGGTGGTGGCTACCACCGACCAGTGGGCCCGGTGAGAGTAGGCACGCGCGCGTTCATCTCGTATCCGCGCCGACGTAAATCAGACTCAAAATTGGGTCTGAAATGAGTCGCCCGCGGACGAAAAAGGACGCGCGTCCGTTTCGGTCAGCGCGTTCCGCGTCGACCCAAACGGATATGGGCGGACGAAATAGGTCGCCTCATTAGAGTTGCTCTAAGGACGTATGTTAGAAAAAATAAGTTTCACTAGAGGGTACAACCAACCATACCATGTGTGTGATGTGAGTCCTTTTTGATTCTCCATCGTTACTTACTCACGGTGCGCCTCTTAAACAGCCCACGAAAAGTGATGCTTACCTTTAATTTTATTGGGGATCATTAGTGTTATGCACGGGAAGGGGCAAATGTCCTCTCGTCTGATGATGTCAAATGCGCTTTGGATTGCCATTTGTTGGTTCTAAGGTTGATTTGAACTTCAAATGACCGCTTTGTTGCAGTTTCCACTCTTCGGTTCCAGGGCAGTAACAGCAATGCTTGCATGACAACTCATCCTCATCGCTGGATTTGGCCCATTCCTTAATCTGTATTGGTTGGAGCTGTGTCGTGCCGGAATCGTTATGTGCTCTGCCATCTGCATGGCTATTTTGATATAGTAAGCACACATCATCCTAGCATGAATTTGCGGTGCGGGTGCGGATCTTGAAGGTCACACCCAAAAGATGATCCAAGTAAGATTTTAGACGACACTTTTGGCTACTAGACCCTAAAGCTCTGAAGCTTAAGGCACATACGCGCTAATTTGTTGACCGCAGCAAGCAAACAGAGGGCAATAGAATCCTTACAATGCATTTCCTCAAAGATAAAAATATAGAATTGGCCTCACATTTACAAGAATGTACAATTCAGTGGATTCGATGTTCGGGGTGGGGCGTTGGCGTCCTGTTGAGGCGGACGGGTGGTGGCGGTCGGCTACGTGGGACTGGTGGGGGTAGGTGAAGGTGAAGCCATTTACATGGGTTGGGGCGGTCGGCTGGTGGTGGAAGTAGGGAAGAGGATGGATTTGGGGCATGCCACGAGGCGAAAGAGTGAAGCGAGCGCAAGCAAGGGACTAGTGTTTGCAGGCTCTCATCGGAGATCCGCGGAGTAATAACAACCGGTGGCAGAGGAAAATGGCTCTCTGGGTTTATTAAATCATGCCAAAATTAAGTTTCATATGGGATACATGTCTGCGAGTCCATTTTAAATCTGCATCACTGCACACTCACGTTTTTCCTTTTTGAAAATAATGGGCAGCACCCTTATATTCATTCACTTAGAAAAATGTTCGTTACAAATAATGGCCCTGATTTTATCAGGTGGCTCACTAGACCAACAGGACCCAACATCAAATTCTGTAGGTTTTGCTAGTACACGAGCTGCCTCATTACAACATTGTGGCTCTTGAACAGCTCACGGAAAATGATGATATCTTTAGCTTCATTTTGGGATTATTAGTGTTATGTTGGGGGGGGGGGGGCAAATGTTCCCTCACTAATGTCAATGCGACTTCAACTCCAAATGGTTGAGTATCCAGTCTTTAGACCAGGGCACTAGAATATGTCATGTTTCGACAAAAACAAATGTAGTAAGCACACATCATTCTACCATGAATTTGTTGTGCAGGGTGCGGATCATCGAAGGGCGTATTCACATAAAGAGAAACAATTTAAGACTACTGTCTGCACCAAAAAGATGATCCAAGTAGGATTTTGGACAGCACTTTTGGCTATTGGACCCTGAAGCTGAAGGTACATACCCGCGCGAATTTGCTGACCACAACAAGCAAGCAGAGTGCGGTAGAAACCTTAATATGCTTTTCTTGAAAGTGAAAATTTAGACTAGCCTCACATTGACTTTTAATCTTGTGTACAAGAATGTACAATTCAATGGATTCAATGTCCTGGGGTGGGGCGTCGGCATCCTATTGAGACAGAGGGGTGGCGGCGGGGTGGGGATTAGCGAAGGCGAGGCCACTGGCGTGGGTGTGGCGGCCGCCCGGTTGAGTAGGGGAGAGGATGTGGATTTGGGGCTTGCGACAAGGCGAAAGAGTGACGTGAATGCAAGCAAGGGGAATAGGGTTTGTTGGCTCTCATCTGAGATCCGACGGAGTGACAACAACCAGTGGTGGAGGAAAGTGTATCTCTGGGTTTATTAACACGTGGAAAATTTAAGTTTCACCGGACAATACAACCAACCATATCATGTGCGATGTGTGAAAAAGCCAAAAGCTAATAACTCATTTTGATTTGGTGTATGTGAGTCCTTTTCTATTATGCGTCATTACTCACTCACACTATGGCTCTTGAACAATCGTGGAATGTGATGATTATCTTTAGTTTCACTAGAGATCATTAGTCTTATGTTCGGGAAGGGGCAAATGTCCTGTCGGCTAATGATGTCAAATGCGTTTAGGATTTCATGTGTCATTTGTCAGGTTGATTTAACTCCTGACAGTTGCTTTCCTGCAATACTGTCAGTATCCAGACTTCAATCTGAGGTAGTGGAATGCATTTAGGTAGTGGAATTTCTGATGTTTCACAAAAAACAAATGTAGTAAGCACACATCATTCCCAGCATGAATTCTGTACTGCTGGGCGTGGATTAGTGAAGGCCGTATTTACATACAGAGAAAAAAAAATTAAGACTACTGCCTGCACTCAAAAGATGATCCGGGTGTGATTTTGGACGACACTTTCGGTTGTTGGACCCTGAAGCTGAAGGTACCTACGCGCGCGAGTTTGCTGACCGCAGCAAAACAAAGGGCAATAGAATCCTTATAATTATTTTTCCAAAAGTGAAATTTTAGAACTGGGCTCACATTGACCATGAGTTGCATGTACAAAGAATGTATACAATTTAGTGTCTAGGAGTGGGGCGTCGATGTCCTGTTGAGGCGGAGGGGTGGCGACGGTCGGTGGCTTAGGGTGGTGGGTGTAGGCAAATGTGAGGTCAATCAAGTTGGTGTGGTGATCAGCTGGTTGTGGGAGTGGGAGAGAAAGGAGGTGGGTTTAGAGCCTGTTATGGGCTGCGTGGGGGGAGGCGAAGGCGAGGTCATTGGCATGGATGTGGCGGGCGGCCGGCAATGGAAATGGAAGAAGCGAGGTGGATTTGGGGCTTTCCGTGGGACGGAAGAGTGAAGCAAGTGCAAGGAAGGGACTAGGGTTTGCCGGGCCCCATCCGAGATCTGACAGAGTAACAACAACATGTGGCTCTCCTGGTTTATATTAACTCATGGGAGAATTAAGCGACTTTCATCACAGGGACCAACCAAGCAGACCAACAAGTACTTGAACCAAAACCACAACACTTATTAGGGAATACAAAAATAATAACAAGTCACATTGATTTTGTGTCACGAGTCCTTTTGATTTTGTATCTTTAATTTCGCGTCATTTCTCGCACTGTGGTTCGTGAACAGCCTGCGGTAAAAACGTACGGAAATGTTAACGCCCACGCGTGTGGGCGTTTGCATCTCGCCCACACGCGTGGATCCGCGTCCATTCGTGAGCGCACGAACTTGGCATGTTTCTAGTGCCACGTAAGACTGACCTGGTGTGTGGGCGTTCAGCCGGTCGCCCACACGGCCGTTTCACCACATAGGAGGGGCTGGTGTGTGGGTGTTCAGCAGTTCGCCCACATGCCACTTTGCACGCACACACAAGGGCTAGTGTGTGGGCATTTGGCATCTTGCCCACACGTCCTTCTCCTCTCCCACACCCAAGCTGCTAGTTGCCATGTGTTTTTGCACTGCACATGGCAACTGCCCCTAGTGTGCTTTTATAAGCAGGTGGCAACTCTCTTTTTTTACCCAAGTTTGCCATGTGTTTTGCAGGGTACACGGCAACTGCCTAGTGTGCACGTAGGCAGATGGCAACTCTCTTTTACCGAGTTGCCATATGTTTTTGCATGGTACATGGCAACTGCCCTAACGTGCATGTACATGGCAACTGCCCTAACGTGCACGTAAGCAGATGGCAACTCTTCCTTTTTACATGGCAACTGTCCTAGCATGCTTGTGAGCACATGACAACTCTCTCAACTGCCTAGTGTTAGTATGTGGCAACTCCTAAAGTTATGAAATCATGGCAACTACATTAGATCAGACCATACATGGCAACTGCAGTTGAGCAACCATGGCAACTGCAGTTGTCCGACATGGCAACCGTACTTCAGCGACATGGCAACTGCAATTAAACGAACATGGACGAGGGTCTGGACCATGGCAACTGCGGGCGCGCAGTGACCGTCACGCGTGGCGTGCGAGACCAGGAGGTACGGGGCCTGACATACGGGCGTGTGGGCGTTATCAACTTTGCCCACACGCACGCGTGTGAGAGGGATCGGGAAGGGAAAAAAGAGGCGTGTGGGCGCTAATTGTTTTGCCCACATGTAGGTGTGTGGGCTGTTCCTCTTATACACCACACAAAATGTGTGGGCGGACTTCCTAACACCCACACGTGTGGCACTTATCGGATCAGTGTTACAGTACAAGCGTAGGTCGCCGGGGTCCGGGCCGGGGAAGGGGCAAAAATTGTCCTCTCAGCAACAAGGTTAACTTCGACTCAACACATCTTTCACAGATGCCCAATACCTGACAATAAAATAATAGGCAAGAACAATGTAGACAGTTCAGTGGACGACACTTGCAACATCTCCAACAACTCCACTTTCCCCCAAAAATTCCTGGTAGTGGAGGAGTTGGGCCAAAAAAAATCAGCTCCGACAACTCCCCTTTCCTCAATAAATTTATTCATAGGATGAAACTGGCGCCTTATTACTTTCAGCAACAAATTACTCATACGAAACTAAAATTTAGGCCTCTTTTGGTTCACAGGATAGGATTATCATAGGAATAGGAATCTTATAGGAAATGAGATGACATGTATCTCAAATTCTATGAGTAGGAATAGAAAACAAGATGTCATTTGGTTGACACCAAAGGAATTTTTTCATTGAGTCTAGGCTCTTTTTTATTTTCCTATGAAATGTGGAGGATAGGAACCAATCCTATGTAGGAATAGGAATCTATTCCTATGAACCAAAGGGCTATAAAGAAAAAAATCCTATAAGAATCCTATCCTCTAGAATTCCTATGAAATTCCTCTAAACCAAAGGAGGCCTTATTAGTGAAATGACTTCACACACGACAAGATTGGACGATCTGCGAACGATACACGGTGCGCATGCATCAGCTAACAGGAAAACCAACTGCCTCCTGCATGTACGTGCGCTGCTGATGCTGCCACACGGGATCGTGCGCACATCGGCTGCTATTTCGTCGTGTGTATAGAAAAATGCAAGCGCGTCGTCTCTGCAAGAAACTGTCAGAAGCAGTGATTGTTTCCTCTCATAGAACTGCATCAGATATGAATTTACGGCGCGGGATACGGATCATCCAACGCTGTATTTACAGAGCAACGGTTGACCGACCGATCGTCAGCAACAAAACAATTTGAGATCACCACTGTCTTGGCACACAAAGATGATGAGAGTTCAATCTTAGAATATAAGCTTGGCTGCTGGGCCCTGAAGGTACATAGGCAGGCAGGAACTTATTGAACGCAGCAAACGAACAGAGGACAATAGAATCTCACATTGCTTGCTGTGAAGTCCATTTTGTTGGCGCAAAATTAGAACCTGGATGCACATTGACTCTGCGTCGCATATATAAGGTGCCAGTTGTGTGTTTCAGAAATGTGGTGAACTTTACACCCAGGACAAAATGCCCATTACCTGAAAAGCAAATAGGTAAGAAGAGGAGCAAATCAGAGCTTAGGGTCAAGAGCTCAAGATTTCGTATTCTTGCTGAACTAGAGTTCAACTCATGCTCATCATATACAAGAAATACAGTCCAAGAAATTCACCATTATAGTCATGTATTTAACCACGTGTTTGCAATGTGCCAACATGGTAGTGTCAAATGCTACAGATGGATGTCAAGATACCAGATTAAGACATGCATTCAGATACTTTATTCAGATTGCATGAATCCACAATGCAGAAAGATAAGTTTCCTCCAAAATGGCAGTCGTTCATCATTCATTCATTTGATAAAAGTGCATATTCATCAGTCCATATGTCTGTTACTCAGTTTGCGAATGAAAAGCTTAGAGAAATACAATAGATTTAAAGGAAAATTAGAGAAGGCATTTTTAACTGCCCGAAAAGATGAGGATGTTTCTCAGTTGGCCTCCAGAGTTTGGACTAACATCAAATATGTTGTAAAAATCCCCTGTACTACAGGTACATATATTTTTGCATAATAAGAATTTTCAAATAGAAAATCAGCTGAAGGACTACCAATGTTTTGCTTATCCAATGTTCATCTAAAAAATTCTAAGCATATCGTACATGATTTACTCAGGCCAGCAAACATGTTTTCTCTCCAGGTTCATAGGAAACTGAAATTCATTAACTCAGCAAGTCAGCATCCATGAGATGGTCAAAACAGGTTTGATTTGCACCATAATAATTTATGGTGCAGGATAAATTTCAAGTCATTGAGCACTATACTTACAGACGAAGGATTGCCTGCAGTGGAATACTTAGAGACGAAGGATTGCCTGCAGTGGAATACTTAGAGACGAAGGATTGCCTGCAGTGGAATAATTTAAGATCAATGTCTCAGCACCCAAAGATGATCAGAGTATCATTTTAGACTATGCTTTTGTCTGCTGAAGCCTGAAGATAGATACCATCCTTCCAATGATACAATCAACCAAGTGTGATCTGTGCAAAAGTACAGAAATTAATACCTCGTTTTGATTTTGTGTCATGAGTCCTTTTGATTCTGCATCATTACTCACTCACACTGGTTTTTGAACAGCTCGCGGAAAAAATGGTTATCTTAATCTTCACTGCGGAATTCGAGTTACAACAGAAGACACCCTTCTCTACCACCGTGCCTAGGCTCACGTGCTTATCCTGCGAAAATTAGCAAATTAGTTCACGTCTGCTTGTAAAAATTAACACTAAACATGTACTACGATGTTGGCCGCAAACGGACCCACTTTCATAGTTAATTGGCAAGTGTCAGGAGGTCGCCGGGAAGGGTAAAAACTGTCCTCTCCACTGGCAAATGCGTTTAGGATTCCTTGTGTCGGCTCTAAGGTTAACTTTCAACTCCAAACGACTGTTTAGCTGCAATACTGTCTGTATCCAGCATACAGTCTGGGGCAGTAGCATCTCCAATGTTCATCTGAAACAAAAATGTAAGCACATCATATATGAAAGAACTAAGAAGATTGTTTCGTCTGCAGGATGTTCATAGGACTGCATTACATATGAATTTACAGTGCAGGATGCAGATCACTGAACACTGTATCTACAGAGCAACCAAACAATTTAAGATCATTATCTTGGCACCCAAAGATGATAAGAGTTGAATCTTATAATATACATTTGCCTGCTGGACCCTGAAGGTTCATACGCCGCCGCGTTCATTCACAGCACATAGAAACTCTATTCAGATTTTGTTGGCGCAGGAAACAAACAGAGGGCAATAGAATCCTCACACTGCTTGTCATGAGGTCCATCTTGTTGGCGCAAAATTAGAACATAGATGTGCATTGACTTCGCGTTGGATGTATAAGGTGTTAATTTAATATTTCAGAAATGCAGTGGCCATTATACCTAGGACCAAATGTCAAATACATGAAAAGCAAATAGGCAAGAAGAATGTATCCAGTCCCGTGGACAACACTTGCCTTGATCAGTCATGCACATGAGCAGATGAGAGCTTGTGACCAAGAGTTCAGGATTCTCATAGACTTGCTGAACTAAAGGTCTTCTCATGCTCTTCATATACAAGAAATTCAGACCAAGAATTCACCATCATAGTTATGTATTTAACCATTTGTTTGCAATGCGTCAACATGGTACTGTCAAATGCTACAGATGGATGTGAAGATACCAGCTGAAGATATATATTCAGATTGTATGGATCCACAATACAGAAAGATAAGTATCAGAGGCAGATGTGTTTCCTCCAGAATGAGAGTGATTCATTCATTCATTTGATAAAAGTGTATATTCCTCGCCCATATGTCAGTTGGCAACTCA